CTCTGGACGTCCGGCACCACCCGAACAACAGAGGCCTTCGACGCGCAACGCAAAGCCGGCATTCAGCTCTACCAACGAGGAGGACGCGAATGCATGCAGTTCAACTACTACGTCCTCCACTACACGATGTGCGGACGACACTTCATTCCCGACCCTCCCCGGTCCGCCTTCGGCTTCAACAGCCAGATCGAGAAAGCGTGGGACGGAATCGGATCGTGGCAGGCCTGAAACGAACCAATACCATGTACTGTACAGACCTGTGCGCCAGACTCCGACACATGACTGCGAAGGGAAAAAAGCAAAGGCACCAACCGCCGCAGCAAAAACAGCTCTGCGCAGCAGGTGAGAGCACAGATCCCATCCGAGTCCTAACCCACCACAGCAAAAAAACGCCAAAACCGCAGCCCATTTGATGCAAAAGACACACGACCGGCATGCTTCGCAGAGTCTCACCAGCCATGCAAACGACGAAAGCAGCGACAGCACCACAGCTGATTCCTCGACAAAAGCCCCAAAGACACCGAAGCCCGGCAAACTAAGGACAGAACACACGCGAGAACTTCCTCCCTGACCGCTGCCACATGCTTAATGTCGACACCACCACTAGCGAAGCCACGGACGGTTCACGTGCTACTACAAACTCAATCGACCCAAGGTAGTCCCGGAAAGGCAGCTCGTGGAACACGACGGCGCCGTCGATGCCAAGAAACTCAGCAACCCGACAGCATTTCATTCACATGCCCAAACAGCTTGACAAAACGAAAATGCCGAGGCGAGCATGTGCCAATCTCCAACAACAGCCTGCGAGATCAAGCTCTCCACATCACCCAATACTCGCACCTCGAAGCGGAGTTACAGCAACGGATACAAGCAGAACTCTGGTATCAATCCAGCCGAGAATGGTGGCAGAGCTGGACAACCACCGGCTCCCCTGCGCACTACACGCAAGCGTCAAGGACGCGCATGATCCAGAGCGCCGCCCACCACGCAGTGCATCCAGCCCGCATGATCTCCCTAAGCAAAACCTTCGCCACTCCTGCAAGCCGGCTACAACTCCGGAAAGCCCGCATCCTTCTGCTGGAGGCCTGCGAGAGTGACATGCGGAACACCATCAGACGCATCTCAAATCTGAAATAACCTGCCCGACGAGTAGGAATGCGGTCAAAAGAAGTGAGAAGCCAAGACACAGTCCACCAACGAGCGAGCGCAGGCCAAACAAAAAGGATACGCTGCAGCAGATCCATGCGAGATCCGGACACCCTCCCGCACCCCCCCCCCCCCAATCTCCACCCGGCCCCTCTACTGCGACTATGTCGGCCAAACAAACACAAACTCCACCGCAAACTCAAACTGACAACTGCCCGCAGCCATAAAACAGCGATCCAGTGACGTCTCACCGCAGAGCCATGGCGGCTACACCATCAGAAGCACGGGCGCCTTAGCATTTCTCTTGCAACTACCTCTTGCGTGCACAGTTCCTTGGCAGCAATGGTAATACAGCACCAGCACTCCAACTAAGGAGGAAGCAGCCGCAACAAGAGAAACGACTATTACCACTGGTCCAGAGACGGGGCCAGCCAACACGAAAGTCATACACGGAGATCGCCAACCCAACGAGCACAGCGAAGAACTCGACGCCTGGGCCGTGGCCACAGTCCCAGCACCAGTAACAAATAAAATTTTACAACAATCAGACCCAAACAGAGACACACACACAGAAACACAGAGAGCGCCACCTCACTGCAGCCCAGGCAACAGAACAGGAAGAAGTCGACGAAGCCACACGTGCTAGCGAGGACGACAGGTGCCTCACCCCTGCGCCAAAGCTAGGAGAACGAATTATGGTCACCAAAGAAGCTTGGCTAGCCCTGATTCTCAGCGGTGCCAAGACCATGGAAATACGGAATCGCCCAGCACAAGCCGGCCCAATCTGGATCGGTCACGGAGGCAAGATCTATGCTTCTGCTGAAATTACGGAATGCAGAGAGATGACGCAGGAGGAGTTCGAAAAGACAAGAGCGCAGCACCGGCACTTGAGCACAATGAGCAGCGGCAGCAAACTGTACGGCTTGCTGCTAGCGAACATCGTCCAACGAACCCAGCCAACGGAGTACTACCAAAAGCCAGCATCGGAACTCTGGACTTTCTTCAAAACGGCACCGGACGACAAGATCCCGCGCAGAACAGCCTCAAAGCGAACAGCGACCATGCCGGCCCTGAGGGATCAGCAAGAAGCCGGCAACTCCGCAAAAGAGACAGAAGATGGACAGCTTCCAGAAGACGACGACAAAGATGAAGAAACGCACGGAGCTGGAAGCCGCAAAAAGCAGACAAGAAAGAAACGCCGGTCTGCCATACCAACACTTCCGCTCACGTGAAGCGAAGGTGAAAGTGAAGCCAAGAAATGACTGTACAAAGCAAGCGATGCACTGCCGTCTCAACCCACGCGGCCAGACCTCTTGCAAAAAAATAACACTTGCAGCTCATGACATGTGGGATAGCAGCATGCCACTCGGTCGCACGAAGAAAGAACAGACTCCAGAAGAACGGCCACATGCGCAGCCGTTTCGGCAAAAGACGGATGCGAACCTGCATCAAACGCAGGAGCATAACAAGCGGAAGCACCGCGAGCATGGCTCGCCAGGAGACCCACACACGCACAATGCCGCGAAGAACGCCGTGGGCAGATGTCGAGGCACAAGCGCCAGTAGCCGAAACAAAGATTTGCAACCTGCCCGACACTCAGGACAGCAGCCACTCGGAGCAGGCACACTGCCGGCTGCTCTTACTCTCTCTCTCTCTCTCTATCTCTCTCTCTCTCTCTCTCCTTTCTGTCGCTGCGCTTGCCATGATCGTCGACACTCCCGTCCCTCAACACCCAGAGGACATGGCAGCAGGGCCGACCAAAAACAACACGAACCACCAGAAAACAGGAAGACCGAAAGAAGCACCAAGCCAACAACGAAAAATGTACTGGTCCGACAGGAGCACCACGCCAACCGCGACACAGGACCTTCGCCGGCTGGAGCTCGTGCGACAAGCCAAAAGACTCGCTCCAACAACATGGAAGCAAGCCTTCGGCAGCCAGAATCTCAGCACAGAGCATGCGTCAACGAGTAGCAACGGATGTCCAACATGCACCTCAGGAACTCTGCTGCCGCAGCCCCCAAAAGTTTCACAAGCCGAACCACGCCGATGCCTCACCTCGAGACGGAAACCACGGCAGAGTGGAGCCCCGGCCTCGGAACCTTTGCACTAACCCCAGACGCCAAACTCGGAAAAAAAAACCAAGCAATCACTGCCGCCGTTCTGCTGCAGGTCGTCCACACGAACACCAACAGCACGGCTACGATTACACCTGCACACTCGAAGAAGAAGTGCAGCAGTTCGTCCAAGCAGTCATGCACCAAGAGCTCCAACCCGAACAGCTGAAGTGGTGGCAAGACACCCTCAAAGAACGCTGTCGCTACCACCGCTTCCCGTGTCGAGCCTGGTTCGAGCTCGTGTACCAGTGGCAACCTCCAATAATGTCAACCACCCCAGACACCAACGACGGTGCACAGGGGCCACGACCGCGGACCTCGCAGAGCCACCCAACGCCGACCTGCAGCATCCCGTGCTACGTCCCCATCCTCCTACACTGGGAGCAGAACACTTCCCCCGCACCGAGGCCAAGCATTCGTTTCCACAGACTATAGGAAAGCCCCAGGAACAGCCGCACGGCCTCGGATCCTCCACACGATGCCCACGAGGCTGCAGACACGCAAAATCAAAGCAGCGAAAAAGGCGTGCATGCTGCAGCGAGACTCATGCATGTACGAGATGTAACATAAGCTTCCTACAACAACACAACCACTGCCCCGGCCGATCCAGGCTCGAACCTTGTACCCCCACAGCTTACAGCCGCGAAACAACGTCGTCTCACTGTCCAACACTCTCTCACCGGCCCCTGTGCCACCGGACCACTACACCAACCACCTACAAAGCAGGCTCAAGCAACCAGCAAACCTAACTCGTTCGCAACCTAGCCATGGATCAGAGCCAACCGAGCCAACCCAAGCACTCGTGATAAAACTGACCTGGATCAGTCGCATCCTCGAAAACGACAAAACATGGGAGCTTCGACGCACCAGCTTAAAGAAGCGAGAGCGCTTCGTGCTAGCCGTCAGCAAAGCCAGCTTCCTAGGGGGAGAAATCACCTTCGTAGGCGGCTTCCTTGTGGACATCTAGACAGATGAACAATGGCGGCCCTTCGCGGACGGCTAACGCTAGCAGGACCGCGAGCGCTTCCTACCTCGAGCAGAATACCTGCACAAGCATCAAGTCGACCGGGACACCATTCCCTACCACATCCTCTATGCATGGGTACTGACAAGTCCACAAGCCTACGAGCCCGAGAGACCATACTGCCCGCAAGCCGAGCCACTATTGCAGTCTGTGGAGCCGGCAACTAACACACGCCACGAAAAGGACGATCCTAGCCAAAAAAGAACAACCGAGGCACGACTCGTGGACACGTCCACACAGCCAACGCACCAGCTCCACAGCGCACAGCAGATCCTCGACAAGAAACACCGACGGCGACAACCAGAGGTTCCACCCACAAAGACCGACTGATCAAAAGTGCGAGCAGACCAAAAAAGAAAGCCCGCTGGCAGTGCTGATGTCAAAAGTAGCCGAGCCTGCAAGCACCATGCCAAGCGGCAACACGCAGCCGCGGACCGCAGCACGTGAAGAGCAGAAGGGCGAAAACAGTGGCACCCCAGAAGAAGCACCTAAAAGCCCTGACAGGTATAACAGTAAAGACAATCTATAATCATAGTGGAATGCATCAACGAAGCAACAACCCACACAGCGTTAAAGAAGCAACACAAGCGAGATCCCACAAACATCTCCGCATAAAAACCAGGTACACTGCAAACCCATCCAAGCAACAGGAAGTACAACAAGTGAACACCCCACCTGCACCACACTCTGCTCGCCATGTCCCCGCAGCTTCCATGGATCCACACGTCCGATGCCACAGCCAGGCAGAAACCTTCACGAAAGACCAGCAAGCAGACCTCAATGACGAGGAAAACAAGATCACCCTGTACAGCGAAGGCCTCGATCACCTGCTGCCGCTGAGCTTGACCAGAAGCCCTGAACTACCGACAGACTTTCCACCGCGCGACCACAAGCCTCTGCCCGCCAGTCTACCAGAACATTTTGTCAACGACAGACTGCAGCACGTCAACCTTCACGATCAAGACAAGCACCTGCTCTTCGACCACGCGACACACACCTACTTCTGGAAAGACACCCGAGTGAGGGAATCGGTGACCCAACTGATCCACAGGTACGCCGCAGAGTTCGACCCAGAGGAAACGCTCAAACGCATGTCCGAAGGAGATCACTGGCCTCGGCCCGGGTACCTCAAAAAAAACATCGAGCCAGACATCATGGAAGCAATCAACCGACTGCCCAGGGGCCCCCACATCCTGGCCATGTTTCAGGAAAACCACCGCAACGAAGAAGAGCTGTGCCAACAGATACGGACGGCAGCGCAGCAAGCAAGCCCGCAGGAGGTCACCACACTGCGTAGCTTCGCGATGTCGAGCAGCGAGATAAAACAGAAGTGGGAAGCCGCCCGTGACAACGCGGCCCGAGAAGGAACCTGGATGCACGCTCAATTCGAGTGCCTGCTGAACGGAGGGTCCGTGCGAGAAATGACCTCAGAGATCGCCCTGCTCTTCCGATTCCTAGGGAAACTGCACGAAGGCACGGCCTACAGAACCGAATGGAAAGTCTACGCCGAGGACATCGACGTAGCCGGTAGCATCGACTTCGTCATCCAGCAAGCCAGCGGCAGCCTAGTGCTCGTGGACTGGAAGCGAAGCAGCAGAATATCAAGCCGCGGAGAGCATTTCAACCGCTTCATGAAACCGCCCCTGGCACACCTGGGAGACAGCACCCTCTGCCACTACCACCTACAGCTCAACGTCTATCGATGGATTCTCCAACACCATTACCACAAAGTCATCGCAGAAATGTACATCGTGGGGACGCATCCCGACAACGGCCACGAACCTTGGATACAGCAGGTCGGAGTCATGGACAACGAAACCACGAAGCTCATCGACGAAGCAGTCAAGGCACGGGACAAGCAAGACCACGTGAGACACCGTTGAAGAAGGCCCCCCGCTCGCCCGCCACGAAAATCAGTCAAAAAAGAAGTGACGCGGAAACACACGTGCGGCGACACATGCAAAGTCAAGACTAGCCACATACGCATGAATCGAGCACACGACCCCCCCTATAACTCTCAGCGAACTTCCCAGCCAAGCCTAGCCCTGGCTCAAGTACGATCAACGGCTTGCACGCGATGGCCAGAAGGACCTCAGCCAGCGCGCCCGAGCCTGCAAAGAAACGCAAAAGCGAGGAGTTGCTGCGCATCTTCAACCTCGCAGGCGAACAGCTGCTGGAGATTGTCCTCGAGGAGCCAAAAGCAGCAAGCACCATAAAACGAGAACTACAAGTCCAACTGGGCTTGCCACGCTTTCGGCAAAGACTACTCGGAGAACATGGCCCCCTCCACGACGCGGACACAGTCAAGGCTCCGACAGACTTACAGCTAGTGAAACTCGACTACGGCCCGCCCAACCAGCACGACACAACACGACTCATCGCAGCCGCGCGCAGCCAGACCCCGACCAAACTGGAGGAACTCCTCAGCCACCCACTCAATCCGAACTGTGTCCAAGCAACGCTGTTCTCCACCACCACGCCCCTCGAAGCAGCAACGAGAGGCAGAAAACTAGAGAACGTAAAGCTCCTGCTGGAAGCCAAAATCAATGCCAACACCGACGAAGACCACGGCCTGCTGCTGCGAGCAGCACAACGACAGGACCAGACAGCGGTCCAGCTCTTGATCGCGGCCCGGTGTCACTTGGAAACACGCAACCACACCGGCACTACGGCCCTCGCCGCCGCAGCACGCAAGAGCAACGTCCAAATCGTGCACATGCTTCTGCAAGCCAGAGCCGATATCGAGGCCCCGAACAACAATCGACGCAGACCACTCGCGCTCGCTGCGTGGGCAAACCAGCCCATCATCGTGCTAACGCTACTAGCAGCACGCTGCAACCCGCTGGCCGCAGAACCACGTCACCCAGATGGGATTCCTGCATCAGCGGCCAAAAACATCTTCCTCAGCGCATGCGTGCAAGCAGGCAAACAGGCCATGCGTGAAGCGTTTCTCGCCGGACCGAAGCCGTGTGTCGACCAGCCGCACGAAGAGCTCCAGGAGCCCGTATAATTGAACTGAACCCAGACGAAGCGAAAGCTGGACGGTCGCATCCACCGGCTAATGCCACCGACCATTGCTGAATGGGCCTGCTCCGACAACGAAAAAGACCAGCCGAGCCCTGCACGTGCCTCCCATACCGAGAAACCCACTTCAAGAAGCACTCAAAAACATCGAACCCGCTAGCACATTTTCTGGCTCGGAAGCATACCCACGCACAACTAAATAGCCAAGCCGCGACAGCAGGCATGTCCTCAACCAGAATCGATACGTCTGCTTGTCCTGGGAGCAAAGAGGTGCAACCGCCAGATTTGTGCATGCTCGTCCCCCCCCCCCCCCCCCATCCCGACCCACCCCTCCTTCATGCCAGCCACTGCTGCGAGGTGCTTGGTTCGCCGATCGGCTCCTCAACCAGCAAACAATGCCAGCGGCTTCTTGAAGTAAGGTGCCAGGATATCGTCCTCAACCCGAAAGAAGCCAATTTGCTCACCTGCTCGACAACCTGGCTCAACCTCGACCTCAACCTGTCAAAGCCGCCTACACCTAGCCTCGACGAGCGACAGCAAATCAGATTGACGGCAGCAAAAAAGGGGGCAGCGGGAACTGGCAAATCACATAGTGCACACTGATCCCAAGAACAGACCACACACAAGAAAGCCCCCGAGCCTCGCTGGTGTACTTACTTACTCCGTCCAGCATATGCACAATACATACAAACCGCCCTTCCGGCAGCACAAGAAGCAATGGCAAACTCCGTCCTGTTGCACTCCGATAACTGTAGCCCTGGCTCAAAATACTTTGCTGGTAGCCCGCCAAGCGACACGCACCAGCCGATCATGCTGCACGTCCGCGGCTGCAGCGGTCAAGTGATCTGCACCATCGATCCCTCAGCCCGCAGCCACAAAGACGGGATCGTCCTTGACGACCTGGCGCTCACCGTAGGCATGCGCCTAGACGTGCCCGCCAACCGCATCAGCATTCACTTCGCTGAAGGACAAGCTGAACTAAATCCGAAAATGACCTGGGCCGACTGCGAACACCTCACTGCCCAACACAGCAGCTACGAACTACTGGCAGTCGTCCGACATTTTCGAGACGGAGGAGCACCCGAACTATCCCTTGCCATTCAGATGGAGAATCACCGACAAGTCTGCAGCCTGCTAGAAGAGCTAGTGGACCCCAACATCGCAATCAGCCACGACAGCAACTACGCACCATGCAGCCCTTTGTGCATCGCCGCCTACACCAATTTTGACAACCCCTACATCGCCCAGGCACTCACCGCGGCCCACGCCAATGTAGACGGGAAGCACTTCGCCATGAGTCCTCTGACGGCAGCCTGCGAAAGTTACAACCTGCAGATGATCAACTTCCTCGTTGAAGCCCGCGCAGACACAAACCGACCAACGTCGTCCACGGACACGCCTCTGCTTATTGCGGTGTCCATGGATTCCGCACCGCTGGTGCACCTCCTCCTGCGCCACCGTGCCAACATCAACCAACAAGATCATTGGCAACGCGGTCCCATAGAACGGGCCTTCCAGCACAGGGCACCCCGAGCAGCAGCATGCCTTCTGCGGGCGAAAGCGCAAGTGCAGCCGCACACAAATGCCAACTGCTTACTCCACCGCGCCGCAAGCAAAGGCAGCTTAACCTGGATCAAAATACTCCTCGCAGCCGGGGCAAACCCGCAAAGCAGAGATGAGCACGGCCGCCTTCCCATCAATGTCCTCCGACGCCTGCCAACCTTTCAACAGCGCCAGCAAATCAAACGCAGCCTTTGCTCAGCCAGTCCCACAGCCACTCGCCGCAGCCCATCCGCGGAAAATCCAGTGGGTCACACAGGCGAGTAGGAGTCCCGCCCACGCTGCGTAGAACGCTTCGAGACCAGCAGCGAGACCGGCAATGCGAGGAAAAAAACTGCAGCTCAGAGCGCAGAGCATTCACTTGTGCAGGTATGGACAGACGAGCAAGCCAGAAACACGCAAGCAGCAAGTGACACGCCAGTGTACAGCAAAGCCAGAACACGCGGCAGCACCAAAGTGCCAGCCACCAATGGCCATCCAACGCCATCTAAAGAAAAGAACGCAAGTAACAGCCAAGCAACGGCTAGAGGAAAGCGGACATCCGGCTGCAAGAACATCTCCATGCTCAAGGACCACACCACCAAAACGGCACCAGAACAAAAGGAACCTCACCAAAACCGATTGCATATATGCAAAAACATTACCCACACACCGCACCCCATCCCGCCACAGCATGCCTGTGTTCTCGGACAAAGAATCTAAGTGAAAGTAGCAAGACCAGCAGCAACAGCAGCAGGAACCAACCAAGAACTGTCTAACCCACGCCAACAACGTAGCTCCAGCAAGAAAGGATGCATTCTGCCACCAGAAACAGTAAACAGGACGAACGCGGGCTGTCTCCGACGAGCAGCCATTTCACGGCTCATGCAGCAAAAACATCCGTAGATTCCCTTGATTCCCGACAAAAAAAATCCGCCACACGATGAAAGGAAATCTCCGCAGCAACCGAAGCCCTCGACGAAGTCAAGAAGAAGCCGCACAGAAGAAAGCGAGGCACTGCATGGAAAGAGCAATCTACGCCAAGGAGGCGGTCCTGTTCGACGGCTTGCTCCTCCACCACCTGTCGCCTTGGCCCCCTTTCGGTCCAGAACCCCCGGAAACACTCAAGGCCCCTCGACCAGAAGATGCCCGATCACTATTGCAGCTGAGCGGCACCTGTAAGGCAGCGGCCCGGTGCTTCCATTCGGCCGGGCTGCGAGCACTAACACGCCATCTTCGCGAAGACAATCGTTGCCTGGCAAGCTACGCCCAGCAATTGGAGAAAACCCTGGCTTGCGTACTCCACATGACGGAGAGAACCCTGGCACAATTCACACAAGTGGAAAACTGAAGCTGAGCTCTCGCAAGACCGTATGCAATAAAGCAGTCTAGCCTCCCACCCAAATACCGTCGCTCCCCCGGCCACTACACAAACCGAGAGCTCGCGAGACAGAGCCCATGCTCAAAAGGTGCGGCAGCTGTACAGTCTCACTAGCTCGTCGCATACAAAAACAGCACAAACAGAACGTCCCTACGTCTACAACAAACCGCGTCAACCAACGACAAGGCACGCATAATAGACGACAGAAGTTTGACTGCTTCGAGTATGGAGCCGAAAAAAGCGCCCGACCCGCAAGCCAAAAAAGGGAACACTTGCCCAACGGAGCCACCCACGTACATGCGCAAATGCAATGCATAGCCCTTGGGCACTGCAGCCATCCAGCTATCCAGTCACGACACAAGCCACACATCGTCAAACAGCTTGCGCGCATGCTAGAAGAACCGCCGTGTTCGACGGCGAAAACCTCCGCGAGAAGAACAGAGCGCGAGAGCTCGCGCCAGCGCATGCAGCAGGACACCCAATCAGCAGGCATGTTGCAGGTCCAGAGCCACGAGGCACCTGCCTATACCGAATACCCATGCGTAACCACCAGAAAGCCATGGATGCAATCGCGCCCAGTCACAAGACCCCCGCCTGGAAGCCGGGAAAGTTCGCTCGACGAACACTGCAGACGGCCCCAACGCCAGGACACCTGCGAATCACCAAGCTAAGCGGTGAGCATCTCGCCGAAACTCAAACAAATCGACATCGAAGGGTGAAAGACCTGCTCGCCTACCTGGAGCCTTACTGCAACGTTTCCAGGCAAAGAATCAGAGTCCTCCAGCACACGCGCAGGCTGCCACACCGCAATCTACGCCAACTACGCCTCAGAATCACGAAAGACATGCAGGCTGTCATCCTGCCGTATGTGCACCTGCTCGAGGGCTCAAAAGAAAAAGAGGATTTCAGACTGGCCCTGTGGAACAGACACGCCAAAAAACTGGCAAAGCTCCTATGGCGACCAATCGACCCAAACACCATCTTCAACAGATACTACCCATCGCCGACGTCAGCACTCGAACTGCTCCTGCTGAACCCGACAGCAAGCTGGCCAGCAGCTGCCCTGCGACATATCCTGGAAGCCAAAGCCGCCCTGGACCGACCCGAGAACAAAGACGTGCTCCTCCTGGCCGTGAGACAGGGACAAGCCCACTACGTACAACTACTTCTAAGGCAGCAGGCAAACCCTCGTGGCTCCACGAACCGACTGACACCATTGGACATGGCATGTCAACATCACCCCGAGGACTTCTCGCACAACGCTCAGCAACCGGGTCTAATCACCATGTTGCTAACAGCCCAGGCCGACCCAGAGCCCATGCTCCGGGACGCCAACAGCTGGGCCGCACACCCGACCCCAAGAGATTACGTCGACCTGGCAAACCCTCGCACGCTAAACAGCACCGTAACCTTGGCCTGCGCAGCAGCCGCTCATTCCAACCCGACGTTTATGCAACAAATTCTGGCAGCCGCAACCACTGAGCAAACCGCCACGATCACCGGAGATCTCCCCTGCAAAGCTGCACAAACGTCCGCCATAGCCGCGAGTCTCTGCAGCGCAGCCTATGCAGGCAAGACCAACCACGTGCGCTGGCTGCTAAGCATGAAAGCAAACCCAGACGCCCACGTGTGCCACTGGATCCTGCAAGGTAAGCACGACTTCATGTCAAGTGGCCACGACCACCAGACAGCCGTCGCCCTCGCCGCCGCCAAGGGACACTACGCCACCGTGCAAACACTGCTCGAAGCCAAGGCCGATGCAAACCTCAGCTTCAACGGACAGCCACTCTTGCTGCAAGCTACGCACCTCCAACCCCCAGCAGCCGTAATAAGCTCCATACTGGAGACGCACCAGGAAAGCAACCGAAGAGACAGGTTTGGACCCACGCCACTCTCGCTCGCACCAAGAAGCGGAGAATTCCAAGACAAGACAGCAAGTGAAATCCTGCCGGAGGTCCAAGCCAGCAGCTGTCACAAAGACCGCCTCGGCCAGCACAGCATCGCAGCAAGGAAGCCTAACACAGAGTTCCACCATCATGAACGGCCACAACAAAAATCGCAAGATCCGCGAAAAGAAGCAACCGAACGCAGCCGCCAAATCCAAACATCTGTCAAGCGACACAAGAAGCACGGAAAATCCATGGCAGCAAAGCATCCAACAAGTCATGTTGCTGTTCGAGCGGAACTGCAAGATGAACCGCCGGAGCGTAAGTCAGCCGGCAAAGAGCTCTGCTTGCCTGCCCGGGCTGATCGCGAAGACCAAGCAGTCGCCAGACGGAACAAGCAGCAAGACTTCAGGCGTCATCAACATGAACGCCAAAAAAAAACTCCAGGCTTCGCCTAATCAGTAAACCCTCAGAAGACTAGGCACACACACACACACACACCAGTTGCAAGGCTTCAGCAGTTCCGGTATCCGAGCCGCGAGATGACGAGTTTCACTTCATCAGCCTGCCCATGCGGCATGGTTCGCCGCCAGACAGCAGATCCCCGAGTGTCGCAACGAGCGAGCAAAATGCCGCAGATGCCGTGCGAAGCTGTGATCAAGGAGCCAAACCCATTCTGCAATCCAGCAGTGCTTCAAGCCGAAACCGTTGCCGACCGGGTAGCCCCGTGAAGGTGCACAGCACAACGTCCTGTGACAACACACCCCTCAACGCCGCCGCCGCAGCACACTCAGCCTCGACCTACTATCCAGCTCCAACAAACGTCCCCCGACTGTGGTCCGGCACGAGCCTCAGCCACGAAAGCCTTCGCCATTAAAGTCGCAAGCAGTCTCCGAGAGAAATCCCTCAGCCGTGCTTCTAAGGTCAGCTGGCGCGAAAACGATGTTGGACGACGTGGACGAATACATCCAGGCCCCGAGCCCCTCGATCGACGGTGGGAACGAGTTCGACGATTGCGACTGGATGCACACAGAAATGCAGCGGGAAGCCGAGGAAAACGCGCGCGAAAGAGAGGCATGGAACAAAGAAATGGACATCCAGAATGCGCACAACAAACGTCTGTCGAACATAATTGTGAAGTACATGAATATGGACGGCGAGGAAATTCACACCTCGAGGCCCTACCCATTCAGCCAGCTTGACTGCGGGTCGTTCCGCGAAGCATGGCTAACCACGTTACACGAAGGGAACAACCCAGATCGATTTCTCACCCTGCACGAGCTACGTGATAGACGGAAGAAGACGAGCAAGCCCTTGCCTGCAGAAGTACTAACGCACAGAAACCCCAGAGAAGTCCTGCTCCATGACTTGGACAGCAGTCGCATCGGGCCGATCTGCCTGGATACGACAAAACTGGTCGTGGGCAACGACCTGATCACGGACACCTGGAGCTGGGAGGACCTCTTGGAGTGCAGTTTCAACAAGGACACCGTGCACGTGCATGTCGTCCGCACTTCTGAGCAAGCCACCGGCCCGTGACCGAATAGTCCCAGTCCTAGAGCTTCAAGTCCGGGCCACACGAGCTGCCTCGCAGAAACCTGCGAGCCAGAATACAGAATGTGGCCCAGGCCGTCAGCAAGACGAAAATAGAGCGCAAGCGGCAATCGGCGGTTCGAACAAAAACACATCAAGAACAATTGCAACGAAAGCTTCTCAACAAAAGGATGCGACGAAAAAGACCCGACCGACGTAACACCGACCAGATATGTCCAGGCCACCCACTCCACGCCACACCGCCTGCACAACTGCAAAATGCAGCCAACAACACCACCCTGCGCAGCACTCCGGCTCAAAAACAAACAGAAATGCACCGATCCAGTCTCCGGCAAAGCCATCAGACAAGCATGGCCAAGCAGCCGCCCAGGAGCGGAGAACCTGCGAGATCCCTGCGCATCTACACCTTGTCCGGAGAAGAGCTTTCCGACCTACCGGAACTTCCTGAGCATGCAACCGCTGGCTAC